AAATGGGTGATTTTTCTTTTTACTTCACTAAGTTTTTTCAGATTTCCTGCAATAAATGTATAAACATTTTTAATAATCAGCTATACTAATTATTGAAAAAAATGCGTATTTGGACAGTGTCTTCATCTTTAAAGATCCCAATGTCTCCCATTACCTAATACTTAAGTACTCTAGAAAATGGCTCCAATCTGAGTCTGTATCCTGGATTCGCCCTGCTTCTGCAAATATTCTCTGTGCCTTCACCAAATTGGGCTTTATCATTTTTTTGTTGCTAATTCATTAAATAATTTTCAGGCATCGGTTATCTGCCAAGCACTCTAGGTACACTGCAACAAATAAGAGTGGCTGTGATTTCCTTTCCCTTGATTACTATTTCCTCTGCTGGGGAAGACAATGAATAAGCGATTGTCTTAAAGATTGATTAGGTTGAAGATGGGAAAAAAGTAGAATATTAAGAAAGTTTCTTTATAAGGGAGATCACTGATATCCAATCAAAAGAGGCAGTATTGCTGCTAAAGTTTTGTTTAAGCAAAGACTAAAAAGATGAATAGAAATCCGCCAGTTGTAAAAGGACGGGACAAGTGACAGTGGACAGGAGCAAGAACAATGGATTAGGGATCTCAGGAAGACTGAGGAATTGTTGGGAAGTGGTGGAAGAAAATACTGGAGGACAGGAGGGAGGTGAGTCAGAGTTGGATGTTTCAGATGAAGATTTCAGAGACGGTGTAAGTCCATGTTTGACTTGGGTGTGCATTGTGAGGCAGGATGGAGGAAAATATTCAAGGTGAGGATGCCAGTGGTCTGGGAGCTGGTGCTGGATGCGTTACACATGCAGAGGCTGACCTCACTGGAAAGACAATGGAGACGAGTAGAAAGGAAGGACCATCTCTGTTTGCTGACTGCTGTCAGACTATGCATCTTTAAAGACCCACGGGAAGCAGAACTTCTATGAGGCCATCTCTGAATTGCCCAATGTGATACATGCTCTCATTCTTTTAATTCCATAGCATCTAATGGTTCATTGCATAAGTTGGTGCTCAATGAGCATTTGCTTAATTTAATGCTTCCGTGAGACATTACTATTAGAAACGGATGTGTTGAGCTGAATGAACTGTGTGTTTAACCTGCATCTATTGTTATGTTCCAACAGTTCAGGCAAATTGAATTGCCTATTCTGAAAGCAGTTTTGTTGAGAGAATAACAATCCATGTTTTTCAGTTGGTATACAGCCATATAGTTTAGAAAGAATTTCCATGCATTTGTGCTAAAAGGGTAAAACTATAGCTTTTTAAGTAGTCACTTAATGTTTATATTTCTGTTCAGTGTCTGGGTATAGTCTCACTTTTCTGTAGATAAACTTGCAACTCCAAATGACAGGCATGAATTCGAGACAGATGTCTCCAATGTCTGGAATCAAGACAAATTATATCACTTGGCTGTCACAAAGAATGCCTCTTTTGACGTTATGGAGCAATTTGTTTAATGACACAATTGCTAGGCTGTGGAACAGATGACTGTCTCCTTTGTTGCTTAGAATTCCTGGGGCACTGCAGAGAGCCAAGCAGTTGCAAAGTGATTGGTGTGTCTGGATAACGCTGTAGTCGCGGTGCCTGGGTGGCAGAGGAGAGGAACAACTTCGTTCTACCGGTGGCAGCTGCTCTGCCGCTTTAGGGAAGGTGGGAGGTTTGTTTTCTGGTGGCCATGCTGCAAATCTTTTTGCTTGGCTAATCATTTGAAGCCGTAAGATTCCAAGAACAAACTCATAAGAGTTTGGGATGAACTCTTTAAACCTTACCACGTGCAGAACGCTGCTGCATGTGTTCTGAAAGCCCATGTAAAGAGATGCGTGAGAGACCCCCACCGTTCAGAATTTCTAGGTGAAGATATGGATCTCTGATGAGCTAAAATAGGAAGGTGGAATCAAACGACCCCTGGATAAGGATGTTCTTGGCGTGAGGGACTCAGGAAAAGGCATCTGTTTGAATTTTCTGGAATAAATTGGGAACGCTTTCTAGAGGAGATGCTCTAGGAAGCTGGGCTATAAAAAAACTAGTAATAGTGTAATTTGCAAGAACGATGGCAATTCTATTCCTAAATTGCTTAATTCCTGGATTCAATGAAGAAAGCAGTGGGGTCTCTAACTGGAGTGCACAGTGTGCAAGAGAATCAACTAGACGCTAACCTCAAATGCCCCTTCCCAGGATTCAGCCTCAGAAATTCTAATTTAGTTGATACTGGGTAGGGCCTAAGAAGCTGCACTTAAAACAAAAAAAAAGCATAGGTGATTTCAATGCAAATGGTCTGTAAATCACACTCCTCCGTGAATTGCTGGTATTAAATATGAAAAGGTAACTTGTTTTTGCAAAATGGATGGTAGTTTCAAAGATAGAAGAGATTTTTCAGGAAAGATTTAATGGAAGGGTAGTAATTAGTGCTCTGCTTTAAAGCGGGAGTGGAATTTACTGCTCAGATACTATGTAAATTTTAATTTGAATGCAATCTACATAATTAGTGCTCTTTTTTCTTTCTTTAGGTTTCTGTTACAAATCCTTTATTTAAAGAAGTGAAGCTGGGGTTGTCCTTCACCTTAAATTTTACCTGAGGGCAGATTCATTGTACAGATATTTCTCCTGCTACTCAGAGAATCCCTAGGACAGAGAATTCATAAATTCAGGCTTCGCTTCACTGACTGGAAGGTGTTCAAGCCATTTAAAAATACAATTTTCTTAAACGTGTTTTGAGAGCTAAGCCGAAATTCAGTCTAATTTGCAGAGTGAAGCAATTTCCCTTAATTCCACGAGGTGGCGCTCGCCTACCATTGCTGGCCTCCTATGCGTAGCAAGCAGGGCTGTGATGGTGTCTAGAAGCAGAGAGAATCTGGGGAGATCCTGTCAGCATTATGGCATAGGCTTGTTTGAATTATTCTTAGAACATAGAATGACAATATACTCTGCTTTTTCCCCACTGGTTCCAGTCTTGTCTAATGCTGAAGGTCACATTATCTTGTTCCAGAAACAATGTTAGGATCAACTGGCTAACTAGAGCAAACAAAGACAATTTCACAGAAAGGCAAGAGAAAAAAAAAAAAAAGACAAAAGGAAAAAACAAAGAGGTCTGAGTCAAAAGCACGGAATCCTTCTAATAAACCTACTGAATGGGAAGTGTTGGAAGGTGTGAAGAGAGAAGGAAATTATGGCGGATGATGAATTCAGGTTTGAAAAAAAGTGAGCTCAAATCTTTCTTCTCCTTTTTTCAAGGTCAGCTGTCAAGGTCGGACCAGAGAGAACTGGAGGGGATGTGGGTGATGTCCCACACTGTGGCATGCTGGGCCTTGGTTTTAGGGCTTGGCTACGGAACTCAAGGTGGCCAGACTGATGGTCATTTTCATATTTCTTCCTTGCAATGAACTAGTTAAAGTCCATGCAAATGTCTGTGGCTTGGTGAAGAATTACTACTTTATTAAGGAACTATAGGGACTTCTGGAACTCTGAGAATCCACCGTCCTGAGTTGAGAGGAGGTCTGTGAATCCCGGGATAAGCCCAGTGCCTTACACTGGGCCACCATTGCACCTTGCAGTGCCAGTGCTTCTCAGCCACTGTGTTTGAGCTCTCTTGTTGCTGCCTGCCCCACTTGCTGCTCTCCTGGTTCCCATAAGCTACAGAACCCCTGTGTGCGTGTATCATGGAGCAGAACTTGACCATGATGGGGAATTTCCATCCTGGCTTATTTTGGGTGAAGCAAATAAATAAATGTGAAAAGGGTAAAGCAAAGTCCAAATGAAAATGCAGATTTTGCTGAGCTAGAAATCATCTTTAAATTGTTTTTTCTTGTTTTCATAACTTATAAGGTATATTGAGAGACATTTTGAACTCAGGTCTTAACCAAAATTAAATATTGAGCCAAAACAAAATGATTAGCTGTAATTTTTGAAGCAGAATGCTGATTATGTTGCAACTGCTTTTCAAAATCTTCAGCGAGGAAAGATACAGTTAAATACTAAGCTAGGTATTCAAAGCTCTGCAACAACCTTTCCAGCCCGACTTATTACTACTCTCCTGCAATATTTAAGTGATTCATAGTTTTAGAAAATACCTTCTCTATTTTCATCCACATTTAAAATGTGCATGTAAGAGAAGAAAAGAATATTCCGTTCTGACTATCACAACTCAGTTGTGGATATAGGAGCTATAGGGACAGAATTGTACAAAGCAGTGAAAACCTCACTTAAGGTTATCTCTGAATACCACGCTGTTTACACATTTTACAAAGAGGATGGATATGCTTGAAAATGTCTGAATCCCTCTGTGTTGTATCAATTGAAATCTAGTCTTCCCAAATACAACTCATTCTTTCAGCTGAATCAAAGATCTTGTTAGTAAAGATGGAAGACATGTGGCTCCATTTCTCTATCTGAACACAATAACATGTTCTTTAGCTAAGGCCCATCTCAGTTACCGGGCAACATTCTTTTGGTACTCTCTGAATACAAGAATTCATTTAAATACTGAGATTTTGGGGTTTACTGAAGGTTAATTTGGAATTGATTACATTATACCAGTGCGATATTCACATTTCTTTATCATCTTCTCGCCAAAGGAAAAAAAAAATGATGTGTACAGTCTTGACCTCTTTTCTCTGTCCCAGATGGACAGTACATCTGTAACTTGATTGGGCGTCTTCAGATTATTTTCCCTCTGGCACCTAAAACTTAGAGCATCCAACAGACTCACCAGCATCTTAGTCTGTCTTGAGCCTATTATCTTGTCTTTTATAATATTGCTGATTGCAGTTCATTGTCCCATGCATTTATTCAATTAATAATCAGTAGATGTCCATACTGTGCCAAGCCCAGGGCTATACTGGAAGCGGCTTTCATCCACGAAGCATTGTTTTTCACTATGTAGTCAGTGCCCGATGCAGCGTAGTGAACGCTGGACACAGCAGCCAGTGAATGCACGGAGATACCGCGGTGAACAAGAGCCATGTGTTCCCTGCCCACTGAGCTTGAATCCAAGGGTAATGTCATCGACTTCTTTGAATCGTTCGGCTCTGGCAGTTTATTTTGCTCTGTAGATCCTCTGTCTCTACTTGGTCGTCCTGTAGGCAAAAGAAAGTCTCGCTCAGAAATGCTCTAATTTTGATCTATATATTACTGTAAATCAAAATTAGGCTTCTAAAATGTATGTACAATTGTTGGCATTAAAGTGAGTCAGCAGCAAAAGCAGTTGTATTCTTGTCCTTCTAAGGGAAACTTCAGCTATAATGAGTTCATCTAACCTAGAGAGTAAAATGCTGGTACAAGTATGGACCTTGGAACTACAAACAGGAAAATTCTGTAATGGATGAAATTGTTCACCTGGAAACCGGGCCAGTCTTTGAGAGGTAATTGGTACCTTTCCATATCTGCTCACAAATTTCTGGCCTTAGAGTTGCTAAGGACTCACTTGTTACACAGCTGTGTTTCCTACAGTGGAATTTCTCTTGCTATCTCTTGAACAAGAAGGAAATAATCCAGACCATCTTGGGGGTGAATCTGAGTGCTGCCGTTTCTCATTTAAAGGGGTCTTTTCGTACTGGAAATGAACAGTGCTTTCTGTTTATTGCTTCTTTCTTCATCCTCAAATAAGTAAAGAGTTTCTTTCTGTGACTCCCTGGATCTAGGCTGTGACAAGAGGATGTCAGGAAAAAAACGTGCAATATCAACTGGGAAAGGAGTTACAGGGAAGGAAACTGAGGCACAGAAGGAGAAGAAGCTCACCCCAGATCAGAGAGTCAGTGACTGAACTGGGGCTAGAACCCTGGTTTCCTGACTATGTAACTAATACTTTTTCTACTGGCTAAATCCTCCCTCAGATCCTCCAGTCAAAGATTCATTTGTTCATACCTTTATTTATCCAACATTTAGTCAGAAAAAGATAAGAAACGCTGTCCTAAGTTCTGTGATAAATGCCGTTGCTTTACAGTATACTATCTCATTTCACTGAATCTTCAATATTTATAACTGAGGCAATTGAAGCCCAAGAAAGTGAAATAATTTGCCCAGTTTTACGTAGCTAGTTAAGTGGCCATACTGGCATTAGGACTCAAGTCCCCAAAATAAATCTCTTTTTATTGTGCCATCAACCATTGCCAGTGCCCAAAACAGTGTTAGGGATTGGGAAATGAACAGTATTTAATTTATCAGATTGAAGTACTTTATCCTAGAGCATATTCTGCAATGTAAGATGTGGTTTCTGCTGTCACTGAGCTTGCACTTAACTTGGAGAGAGATTCTATATCCTTTAAAATGTAAGTAAAACTGCGAGTTAAGTGTCATCACCAGATTAGTATATATGATAGGACAGAGAACAGTTACTAGCTTCATGGGATGCTTAGAGGGACTGAAGGGTTAGGTTGTGTGGCTGACAAGGAGGGCATCAATTGCTTTACATTCTATTTGTTGAGTGATTAATATGTCTTAGAAGAGTAGAGAGTTAGGCTTTCAAATGTGGCAGATGTGTGAAAACCTCTTACCATCTGCAAAACAAGATTTTAAGAGATGTCGCCTGATATCCTTGCAGCTAGGAAAAAGAGGAGGGTTAGTGAAGGAAAATCGTGAAGCTCAACACATCAAGATTCAAATGTATGATTTTATGGCTCACAGTGTGTCTGTTGGCAGTATCCCTACATTCCGTGAATGGTATCAGACTATACATTTATTCCAGGAAACTTGACACATTGTTGCTCTCCCGCAAATCCCGTCTGACTAGTCACTAATTGCCCCGCTGCCACCACGTCGTCTTGTATCTTTCACCTGAGCTGCTGAAAAATACTCCCATCCACCCTTCTGTGCTAAATGCTCCCTCCCCTTGATAATTTCCCAGACTACAGTCAGAGTGACGTTTTCAAAATGCAAATTTGTTCATTTTATCTCACTCATTCTGTAACACCATTCAATAGATTTCCTGTTGCTCTTATAACCAATAAAAATTGTTTTTAATGATCTACAAAGACAATTTTTCCCAGTCTTTGAAAAATAATTTCCTCTTATCCTGCACACTCTTTCACGTGGCAGTCTTCCTATATACCATTCCCCATACCTGAAAAAGTATTTAGTTGGGTACCTCCACTCGGCCCTTGGAGCTCAATTCAACATTTACTTCTTCCATAAGGCTTCCCTGACTTCCCTCTCCTTATATTATGCTTTTTCTTTTCTTTTTCTTTTTCTTTTTCTTTTTTTTTTTTTTCTTTTTGAGATAGAGTCTCTCTCTGTCACCCAGGTTGGAGTGCAGTGGTGCAATCTCAGCTCACTGCAACCTCTGCCTCCTGGGTTCAAGCAATTCTTTGCCTCAGCCTCCCAAGTAGCTGGGATTACAAGTGCCCGCCACCACACCCGGCTAATCTTTTTGTATTTTTAGTAGAGACGGGGTTTCACCATCTTTGCCAGGCTGGTCTTGAATTCCTAACCTCGTGATTCACCCACCTTGGCCTCCCAAAGTGCTGGGATTACAGGCGCCAGCCACCATGCCCGGCCATGTGATGCTTTTATACAACATGTACCTCTCCTGCTCACAGATGCAATCTCCCATTTAACTTATATGATTTATTCCCATCTGTCTCTCCTACCACTAGATTGTAACCTCAGTTGAGGCAAGAACCAGGTCTGCTTTTGCTCACCATTGTATACCCAAGCCAGTGAAATGCTCAGCACATAGAAGGAAATTGCTAAGTATTTGTTGAATGAGTGATCCAAGAAAAATGGGACGATTCTGATTCTAGGAAGGGAAGATTAAGGTGTGGCTTTAAAAGGACCTTTATAGGAAGTTGCATTACATGCAGAAAAGTTTGATGTTCTTTTCAGCTCCCCTGAGGATGGGTAAAAGAGCTCTGCATTGTGTTAGACATAAAGAAATATTGGGATGAATTACCAGTAGATGCTCTAAAATCTATATAAAGAATACTGATAGTGTCAGAATGTAGGTTGACAGGAGAGAATAAAGGCTAGGTCAGTGAACTTCTGAAGGGGCCATTGTAGTAAATAAAGTTACTATTTTAATAAAAGCTTTAGGCGATTTTAAATTCCTGCTTGAGTCTTTGACTTAAATCCAAATCTGATTGTCCTTTATAATATTCCATAAGAATGTGGCAAAGGCAGTCAATCCCATGTTAGTGATACAATGTCTTGGATAATTCTCAGAGACCCACTGCAAACTGCAAACTAGTATCTGCAACTAGGTCCGTATAGTTAGTGTTGCAGTTCAGGACAAAGTGGGGGCTTACCCACACTTCATGACTCCCCCGTAGAAACTTTTGTTTTACATTCAGCCCTGTAGAGGTGCTTCTCTCAAGTCAACCTGTTCTGTTTCAGTTCTTCTGAAACCGGGGGGCTTTGTAAAGCTGGGAAGGCTGAGAGACTAAGAGGCTTTGATATGTGGAAGCACACGCATACTGACTTCCTTGGTCACACCAAAAAATGCCACTGCTACTGGTCAAGCATGAATGTCGTTATTGGAATACTCACAAATCATAGATCTTTGACGTGAATGTCTTTCCTTAGTGGTGTCTGCCTGATTATAGCAGCGAACCTGGTCTCTTGTCTGGGTACTCTTCTCTGGCTTTTAGCCTTCAGAGGCTGGAACAGAAAGAGGTTTATTAATTAGTGATTTCACTGCACGGGCACCAGGAAATACGAAGATCAGGAATCCTTAGTTCTGCCTCTGCGCTGATAAGAGGAGCCCAATCAATTTTCCTGCATTCCTGAAGATGGCTTCTTCTAGATTGGCTATAAGTTTCCAGGAAGGCTTAACATCAGAACTTTGTATCAGTTTATACCTTTTCCAATTAATTTCAAAGGTGATAAGCGCAAGCCTCAAGTCGCATACATGCAAACAATGCATATCTTTGTTCTTAATGATTTTAACATCTGGATGAGAGGTAAGAGTAGAGGGTCATGAGCTATCATTGTAAAGTTAGAGGAATGAAGAAGAATCAAAGGTGGTAATAATATTCATTTAGAATCAGAGATGCTTTTATAGCACATTTGAGATTTTTTAAAGGGCAATAGGATCTCATCAATGGGTGAAAATGAGTAAAATCATATCCTTCAGTTTCAGGTGCCTATGTGATAACTTGCAAAATATGTACAAAAGGCAATTGAAAATAAGAGACTCAAGCTCAGTATATTTGCAGATGTTCAAGGAAAAAAGTTGGATTCATCACTACAGAAAGGACTTTTTTAGTCAGTTGAGGGGATATGACTGCCAAAGAAGAACAGAATTCAGAGAACACGTTTATTCAGGGACAAAAGAAGGAAGGAGAGGCAGGAAATGAAGCTATACAAGGGAGTGGGCAAAGAGTAGGAGGCAGGCCCTGATGCCCAAGGAAGCTGGAGACTTTAAGTAAGAGGGAGTCTCCAATAAAGCTTCTAGATTATGAAGAAGCTGAAGGAATAGATTTGGAACTGGGAACTGGGGGTTACTGGCAAGTAATTTGTCACTTTTTTTTTTTTTTTTTTGAGATGGAGTCTTGCTTTGTCGCTCAGACTGGAGTGCAGTGGTGCAATCTTGGCTCACTGCAACCTCCGCCTCCTGGGTTCAAGCAATTCTCTGCCTCAGCCTTCTGAGTAGTTGGGACTATAGGCGCCCACCACCACACCCGGCTAATGTTTTGTATTTTTAGTAGAGATGGGGTTTCGCCATCTTGGCCAGGCTGGTTTTGAATGCCAGAATCTCATGATCCACCCACCTTGACCTCCCGAAGTGCTGGGGTTACAGGTGTGAACCACGGCGCCTGGCCAATTTGCTCACTCTTACACATTCCGCTGACTTCCTTAAAACTTCTGGCTAAAGGGCAATGCTACCTCTCAACTGGTTCTTTACATGAATAGCATATTTTGTTAGTTCCTTGTATTTGATGAACTTCTTTAACAAAGATGGTAGTATTTCTATTTTCCTAATGTTTTTGAGAGTGGTGGTGGTAGTTTTTTTTTTTTTGTAGTCTTTGCAGTTCTATCATCGGCCCTTCCTCTAGTCGCTAGCCTTTTATTTCCTCCATTTTTCCAGAGTTCTCCCTGCTCCCCTCTGCTTACTTAACTATGCCCCTTCTACCCGGCTTCTCTTGCTACAAGACATTTTAAGGAATTACACACTATTCATTCACAAGATGCAATTCAGACTATAGCACTCTCATCCTTAAACACCTCCATAGCCTCTGATTTTTAGAAAGAAAAGCCTGAGTTTCTTGGCACAGCATAGAGTGAGCACTCAAGAAATTTTTTACCTAGATAATTTAATACATTAATCTTTGTGTCCTTTAACATCTTCCCACCTCTGTGTTCTCTAGCACTGGAACACAGTCTGTGTTGAGAAATAGCACTTTGCATATAGTCAGCTACCCAAAAAAGGGGGCTGCATTCTAGTTTTTTCTGGGAATGCCACCTTAAGCGTAACTTTACCTAGAATTTCAGTCTACAGGGCAAGAAATCGTTGATCAGACAGGCTCTTCAGAAACATGTATAATCCTCAAAGTATCTTGAACATGCAGTTATTTTGGGAAAGTGACATTGTGTAATCTAACCCAGTGGCTGTCCAACCTGGATACACATTCGAAACACCTGGAGAGCTTTGTAAAACTACCGAAGTCAAGGCCTTGTTCCAGACGAATTAGCTTATTCATGATCACTCCTTTACAATGGAGGTTTTCCCAGTGTGGGTCCTACATCAGCAGCATCAGCAGCACCCGGGAGCTTGCTAGTACCAAAATCTCTTGACTCCACCTGAGACGTTTCGAATGAGAAATCTGGAAGTAAGGCCCGGCGATCCGCGTTTTACTAAGCCCTCCACTGGATTCTGCTGTGTATGACTGTTTGAGAACCATTAATTTACAGCACTAAGCTCTGACTCTCAGTACCACTGTATCCCAGGGGCAAAGCTAGGCACGAAGGAAGGGGAGTGCTCCTCTCTGCTGTGGTACCGCTCTACAACAAAGTGTCTAATTTTTGGCCCAGGAGGCTTCTCGTCTTTACTAATTTAAGTGGGATCACCATCTACAATGGGAGTGAGCTTCTTGAAGACATGGACTATGACAATATCATCCTGAGGTCACATTCTTCTGTTTCCTTCAGAGCTCCAACCCCTAGCACAAGGCCTGGAGTGAAGCGAGTGTTCAGTAAAGATAAGGAGAAAGCTTTGAGGAATGCTGGGACTAGCCGAGAGAAGTAGACATATTCATTGTGGTGTGTTGGTTTCCTTAAATTGTGTTGTTTCAAAAAATATTCTTCAAAATAAAGATTCTTTTTAAAAATGCCAGGGAATTGTAAAACCTGGTTAAGCAAATGTTATTTATCATTTATGCTTCTGAAAATGTGATAACAAGGCTTAGCATGGTAACACATTGAAAATTACTCCGCACTGGGAAAATGATAGAAGCAGATTGTATCATCAGAGCCCAAACAGAAGAACAGGAGAAGAAATGCTTATTTTGATTTAGGCTTGATATATTTTATCAGAAAAGCAAAGGTGTTTCATCCTTCAGAGTAACTTGCCTTTTAGAAAACATAGAGTTTCTGAGAGAGAAAGACCTAAGGAAGTTACTAGGTACAGAAGACAAACGTGAGGCTCAGGAGGCTCATGCACAGCCCACTGGCCGAGCAATGCTGTTCTGGGACCGGACATTGGGTTTCCAGTGCGTCATCTGTCATACCACATGGTCAAAATGGGTCGCCAACTTCCCAGACCTTGCAAGTTCAGGACATCACCAAGCTGGGGATTATCACAGGGAGCAGTCCTGGGAGTAAGAAGCCAGATGGCCAGGCTCTTTTAGAGGCTTTTGCTAAGATCTCCTGTCTCTTTTAAGTGGTTTTCAATTTCAGAATTAAAATTTTTACTGTATTTCCTTTAGCAGTAATTAAAAATTCATTCTTCATTTAGCATTCGAAGAAATAAAGTTAGTTTTTTTTTTTAAACTAGTGTTGGACTAAGTGAAAAAGATCTGAGATAAACCCAGAATATTCCCCCAACTTCACAGCCTTGAATGTTCTTCTAAAGCTTTCTGATTTGTAGTTTAAAGTAGAAAATAGAGACTTTATGCTTTATAGATCACAGAACATTGGAGCAGCTGTAAAATTACTTATCCTGTTGAGGAAAATGAGACCAAGATGGGGACAGGAGCTGGAGTTGTCCAAAGTGTCAAAGACAGAATAATTGTGAAAATGGGACCTAAAGCCAATTGTCCTGACTTTTTCTTCCATGCTCTTTAAACCCTTCGATGGCTAAGACAGCACCACTGAGAAACATGCTCCTGGACCTGAAAAGCAGTTGGATAAAAGTACTACTACCCCAATTAAATGGATAGAGAGGCCATCATGAGTTAGATTATCTTTCTTGTTTTTTTTTTTTTTTTTTTTTTTTTTAAAAATATCCTGATCATAGGGGTTTTAAACTAACAAACAGCATTCTGGGGGAAACGCTTTGAGACTGGCTTTTCGACCACAACAGAGTCAAACTGTATTTTGAGTAGCACAGCTACTCCTTATGGTACTTAAAAATCAACTCTGTGACTCAATTTTATTCCTAAAGACTCTAACTGTAATCAAGTAGAACAAACAAGAGACTCATCGCAGAACACTTATTTCCTTTCCTTTCTGCCAGATATATACACACGCACAGACACACACACAGGTATACCTGCACATGTACACATGTGCACATATGCCTGCCCACACACATGCACAGTCTCAAGCTTGCTCCTATGGCAGTCTGTGTAGCATACTGGTAAAAGGTGTGAAGGCAGGATTCAGGCTTCCTGAGTTCAATTTTACCTATGCACTTCCCTGGCTATGAGACTGGGCAGTTATGTAACCTTTCCATGCCTTATTTTTCCTATTCCACAAAGAGCTTGATCTGTCTCAGTTTTTCAAGGAAATACTGATGTCTTTCACTTCCCCTGAACAGAGGCTAATCAAGCCACAGCTTCAACAGTTCCTCACTTGTCCAGCCCCTTCCAAGTTCTGGAAGAGGCTCCCAGAGGGCGTTCGCTTTTTTTTTTTTTTTTTAATTTGCAAAAGTGAGAATTTTTTTTTTTTTCCCACAATTGGTTAAGGTTGCTACATTTTTCTACTCGGCTATTGATCAGTTTTCCTCTGTTTAAGGGTGGTAGCGTGGTCATTGCCAGTTTTGGCTCTGGCTGAGAAGAAGTTGAGTTGGGGATACATTAGCTTGGTTTTGGTAGGATTGTCATTTATGTTTACAGTCACTTACTAGTAAGTCATTGCCAGCCCTCCTGATGTCAAAATAGCCAGAAATACTGCAGTTGCCCACTGTGCTGACTCAGTGTGGGGCAGGACACAAAACTGCATAGCAAGAGATTGAACCGTGCTGTGAACACACCCCATGGAGAGGCGAAGTGCACAGGAATTAATCGTGGAAAATTATTCCACGTTTCACAGCTCGTACGTGAAATATTTGAGAAACCAAGGAAATTGAGTTTGTTTTAAAATCAAATTTGATGCTAGTCCTCAATATTTACATGACACTAGCAATAATGAGTGGTAAACCTGAATTTAACAATTCTTAAGTTTTCACAATTAAAAATAAGTTAGTCACCCTGGAGGCAAGATTGATAATCTATTTTATA